AGGCTTCCCATAGTCATGTCCTCCCCATGACTCTGAGAAGGTCCAGGGCTGCCTGAGGACCTGTAGACCAAAGGAGTTGGGGAGGCAAAATGGGGGTGAGCCCAAAAGGACCCCACTTCTTCCCAAAGGCTCCTAGCTCAGCTTTCCAGGGGGCACCTGGATGAGGCTCACCTGATCTCTACCATGACAAGTGAAGGCATTTATCAGTCAGATGGAGAGCACTTTGGGCATTCTCAGGCTCTGCAGTCCTCACAAAGCCTCCAGTACTGTAAGTATGCAACCTCCTAGTGCTTCCTGCACTGAGACCTATATGCTGGGATACCCAGCTATCTGCACAAATAGGGTAAAGAAAACAAGGCAGTTTCCCATGTGCTAAACAAGAATGGCATTAGTACACATGTGTGTACACACGCACACACTCACACGTGCTCTTAGACAGTAGAACGAAGGGAAGTGAAAGGCTCTGTGAATCTCTGCTGAGTGTGGATGTCCACACACATAGTGTCCACCCCACGAGAAATCATACCCTGAAACTGGTAACCAGTAACTTCTGTATTTAATCTCCTGAGACAATCGCTATCCTGAGCTGGAATCCACAGAAACAAATGGGGCCCAGATGGTGGTACAGAGGATCTCCAGGAGAGACCAGCAGGGCCCACCCACTTCTGACCTGAATAACCTGTGACCTCATTGTCTCATTGCTCTGCTACAGTGACCATAACACAAGTCTATGTGACTCAAAGGAGCATTCTCTCCTTATAATTCTTACTCAAAAAGCAAATTTTATAGAAACACGTGTCTCTTTTGTTCTCTCTCTGTGTCTGTCTGTCTGTCTCTCTCTCTCCCTTTCTCCTCCCCTCCCTTTTCTCCCTTTCTCCCTCAGATATCACCCCCAAATAAGTAACCTTCTGGAACAGAACTTGAACTTACACATAACTAAATTTTACCTTCCGCGCGTGTGCGTGTGCGTGTGCGCGCGCGTGTGTGTTTGTGTGTGTGTGTGTGTGTGTGTGTCAGTCCTGGGACTTGAACTCAGGGCCTGAGCTCTGTCCCTTAGCCTTTTTGCTCAAGACTAGTGTTTTACCACTTGAGCTACAGCTCCCCTTCTGGCTTTTTGATGGTTAATTGGAGATAAGGATCTCATGAAGTTTCCTGTCCAGGCTGGCTTTGAACTGCAATCTTCAGATCCTTTCCTTGTGAATAGCTAGGATTACAGGCATGAGCCACCAGCTCCTGGTCTCTGAGGCTTTTACTTGCAATCTATACTTCTGTAGACTGCTACTTAACATGCCATTTCTCTCATTGAACTGAAAAGCTCCAGTTCATGATACACAAATGAAGGCTTTTGGAAAAGGAGCTTCGATAACATGAAAAAAGCAAGGGAGATGCCTTCCTGGCAATATTAGAAGAGAATTGAAGAGAATCAATAACCATGAGGTGGAAGAATATCACCTCTTTGAGGAACTAGAGCAATTTTTTCTCCAACAGAAGGAGGGAAACCACCTCATATATGCGTCAAAATCAGTAACTAATGGCACACGCAAGTTTCAACCATGAATCACTGGTTTCCGTGGTGATGCAAATATTGCCTAACAACTCACTGGTCAGTAAGTAACCAAGAAGACAGCAAGGAGGAAATTCAAGAATGGAACGAGGTCTCTATTTTCAGGAATATTTGCAAGAGCCTATATGAACCTACAGAATACTACAAGATAGCCCAGCTTCCACTGCACAGAGGCAAGATTTACCAGCCTCTCCTGCTCTGTGTGAGTCCAGCTCTTTGTCACACACAAACACACACAAAGCTAGAACCAGGAACACCTGAAAAGGAAGTGATGACATTTTATTTACAAACACAGGCTTACAATTAGAAACACAAGTCTCTAATCTCTCTCTGCTACTTCCCGCTGAGACCTGATAGCACATTTAGATGGTCTATCCCTTTCAAACTAAACAATTTTCAGGCTAGACCCAGGGCACATGGTTCAAGTGGTATAGCACCTGCCTATCAAGTGTCAAGCCCTAGGTTCAAATCCCTAGGTTCAAATGCCTTGAGATAATTTCTCAGTAAAAAACAGGATTTTACAAAAAATAACTATGACATCCCTTAGAAGAATGTTTTCGCTTCGTCTCAGTAGTTTGGATTTCGTAAGAAGGTATGAATTTTATTTAGGGTTGCGATAGTAAAGGTTATGAATGGGAATGCATATATATGCCCCAAAATCAAATTCGGTGATAACTTCTGACCAGCGTACACCATCCCTTGTACACAGGGGCCCCCCGCTACACAGAAAAGAGACCACAGAGCAAACACTTTCTTTAAGTAATGTCTGGATTGCCTCCAACAGAATTTCCTAGAAGATTCTCTAAACTAAAAATCCTACCACATAAACACTGTCTAAACCTAGAGCACAGGCCTGCTCACTCAGAATCTCCGGGGCTGAGATTTGAAAATCTAGACTGTAATACTTGTGTTCAGAAGTCTGGGGACCCCATAGTTAGCAATCCAGGATAAACTAAGGCCCCTAGACTACTAGGACAGAAGACAGGGCAATGGGGCGGGGAGGCAGGGGAAAGGGGACGCAAGCCAGGATTCATCAGTCAAAAGAAAGATTGATCTGACCACAACTCAATATAAAAACTAAGTCAAACTACAAAGATTGTGTGTGTGAAACAAATATTTCACAAACAACACAGGTAATATATTCTCTGAACTAGTTATTCTATTATTATAGTCCTGTCACTAACTGAAAATTGATCTCAGTTTAGTTTATTTATAGCCTCTATCTCACAAATAAGATGTAGTATAAAATTAGTGAAAACAAGTGAGAAAGTGGTGCAAATGGAAAGTAAAGCCAAGAAACTAAAGGAAGATGGAATGAATCAACAGCAAACCTAAATGCAACAAGGGAATCTAGTCCTCTCTCTAACTCTCAGCTTTCCAGCTATCAGGGTAAAGAGAAAAACATGATCAATTACAAACATTCTAGTATGCATCTGGGAAGAACAAAGCAATGGCTAAGAAGCACTTCCAGGACTCTGGCCAGCCTTCCACACGCTAATCAAATGTCCCCCACACTCTTCAGGGTGGAGAAGGTAAAACACAAGTAGGGGTCACATCTTTTTCTGCTGTTCTCACCTTCCAAGCCTTAGATTACCTAATTCATCCGCTACCCAGAGTACTTTGCACTCACATCCCTCCCAGTGAAGGCTACCATATTACAAAGACATTCCCTGGGGGCTTCCTCTCTCCACATAGTCATCACCCACAAATACAGTACTGGCTCCTCTGCATTTCAGTGAGTTTGTCCTAAATATGAGCTGAATGCTAATCCATTCTAGATATTTCCATAAAATCCTTGAAGCACAAAAATCAAATCTCAACTCTTGACTGCTGAGTCAAGTAAGTGACACTGGTATAGTTGTGTGATCTCAATGATCCGGCCTCTCATCCATTATATTAACTTGTGAGAAACAAAAAATCAATAAACAGGGGCTGGAAAGGTGGCTCAGTGGTAGAGCGTTTGCCTTGCATGCATGAGGTCCTCGGTTCAATTCCTCAGCACCACATAAGCAGAAAAAGCCGGAAGTGGGACTGAGACTCAAGTGATAGAGTTCTGGTCTACAGCTGAAGAACTGGGGGACAGCACTCAGGACCAGAGTTCAGGCCCCACAACCGACAAAAAAAAATCAATAAACAAACATAAATTTGCTTGGCTCAATGCGCCTGGTACCCATTAAGTAGGTGCTCTGCGAATGCTAGATTCCCCTTTGCCCATCAGAGATCTTTTGAGTACTAAGTTTCCTTGCTTCTAGGTCCATTTATAGTCTTCTCAAATCATTCCTCATTCAAGCTTTCTAAAGAGTGTGAAGATCACCCAGGAAAAAAGTTGGTTTCCAACAGTCATAAGCAAGTGACTACAAAGTGCCACAGGTGACAAGATTTCCTGTCACTGTTCTAAGCATTTAAACAAATAATAACACAGGGGAAACTGAGTGCTGCTACCTCACTCTTGTAATCCTGGTTACATCACATTTCAAAGCCAACCCAGGCAGTAAAGTCAGTGAGAGTGTTACCTCCAATAAACTACCAAAAAAACAGAAAGGGAGCTGCAGCTCAATTTGTAGAGCATTAGCATTGAGCCAAAGAAACTCAAAGACAGCACCTAGGCCAAGACCAGGGGAAACAAATTAAGGAGAAAATAAAAATCTGAGGCAAGCCGGGTACTGGTGGCTCACGCCTGTAATCCTAGCTACTCAGGAGGCTGAGATCTGAGGATCACAGTTCAAAGCCAGCCCGGGCAGGAAAGACTGTGAGACTCCTATCTCCAATAAACCACTAGAAAACCGGAAGTGGCGCTGTAGCTCAAGTGGTAGAGCGCTCGCCTTGAGCTGAAGAGCTGAGGGACAGCACCCAGGCCCAGAGTTCAAGCCCCACAACCGACAAAAAAAAAAAAAAAAAATCTGAGGCAAGAGAACAAACTTAAGTCATCCAGTATAAAGTAAATTCTCTAACCCAGCAATATTTAATTGTTAAAAAGGAAATATAATTTGGTAGCAGGATTCAGAAACATACTTAGTCTTTACTCTTGAATAGATTAACTAATTTCTTATAACAAGTAGTAGAAGGGGTTTTTTTGCTGTTTTAAATTGATTTTATTTTTCTTGGGGTCCGGTCATGGGACCTGAACTTTCCCTCAGCTCTTCAGCTCAAGGCTAGCGCTCTACCACTTGAGCCACAGCGCCACTTCCGGCTTTTTTTCTTTTTACTTATGTGGTGCTAAGGAATCAAACCCAGGGCCTCATGCATGCAAGGCAAGCGCTCTACCACTGAGCCACCTTCCCAGCCCTGATTTTTTTTTTTATAGACCCTATTTTTATGGACAGTAAAGACATTTAAAATGTAGCATGCTAGGCCCTACACAGAAGAAAGAAACCCCTTACTCTGTGTACTGTCCTTCAGTGTAAGTATCCCAGATTAAACAATGTGACTGGCCTACCTTTTCTGTGATATAGAAGTTTGAACTGTCAGCATGTTGCAGTGCAAAGTATTCATAGTTGGCAAGAGACCACCTACAAAACATAGCATAAGAGATCAGAGAAACAAAAGTGCTCATCTTCATTTTTATTCGTTCTACAGGGGTGAGGTGAATTACATTCACTATGATTAGAATGGAGTCAGTCTCAAATAGGCACAATGGGGTCTCTAAAGAAAATGGCTTTAACTCACCTGTTACCCTAAGACCAACAGTCCTTTCCTCTCTGAAGTTCCTAGACCAAGGCTACTCCTCACCTCTAAGCATTTCATCAAGGTTTGGGGCGGGGGTGGGGGGGAGACTTAAATTGTGAGTGGCAACATTCTTCATTTTGAACAATTGAGGCAAAGAAATGACAGCAAGGTAAATGGCAGCAATTTAAACATGTGATAATTAGCACATTGCCAATTGTCACTGAATTCTCTAACTCACAATCAGTTCACCCCACACAGATTGGGACACACTAAGTATGGCAAGTCTTCTCTAACTTCCCCCTAATATTCTATTCAAAGTTCTGCTTTACAAGTCAAGAAATACCATGTGACTTTCCAATGTGCCCTTCCCCAGGATTGTTTGAACAGCCCAGAGGAAGAGGGAAAGCCATGTCAGTCAGTGAGAAAAGTCCACAAAGCACACAATTACCCATGGACTTGTCTATTAATTCTGCCATCTTCCACAGGGGCCTGTGGGATGCTTTCAGTGTATGTCAGATGGAGTGTGTATTTAACTCTCAGGAACCTTTAGTCTAAAGGTTCCCTGCTTGGAAGGACAAAAGGAATACAACTGTTCAAAAGAAATAATACCAACCCACTGTACACATGGACCCAGCCATTCCATGTTTTCTATTCTTCGAGGAATAGGGGAAAGATTTTGGTGGAGAAAGAAGGGTAACTCTCACAAGGTAATTCTTTGTGACTAGGTAGGTCACATGAAGAGTTATGAATAAGATTTATGGTTATCATTTATTTATAGGATTATGGATAATATTCTATCCCTCCAGCGGAAATACTCTACGTTCCTGCCAATGTATGGACTGAATGCTTTAGAAGAATCTTTGCAACACTTACCCATCACACACTTCCTTGATTATTGCAGACAGTGGTTTTTTCTGAAAATAACAAAAAAAGGAAATAATGTGAAGTTTCATTTCATCATTTTAAATTTAAAAAAAAACCACCTAAAGTTAAAAAAAAAACTCTTAGCAAGGAAAATTTACATTAACTATTCTTAGTTGTGAGTGAACTCTTACATTCTCAGGGTTCACAACCTGCTAGCAAGTCACTACCTAATCTATTAATGATTTATTCCCTTGTGGCCCTTTTTTTCCCTTATACTTAGCATTAATTGTACTAAATATGTAACATATTTAATTTTGCCTTGTTAAAGTTGAGACAACAAATACACGTTATACAAGGATCTCCCAGGCAAGCAGAAATCTGCAAGTTCAAGGAATAACCAGAATAAAGCAAACAGACAATTGGCTTTATGAAGACAAGTTTGGATTCATGAGATTTTTATGAAGAGTGTGGCACATGGGACATGAGATGTTGCAAAATTGTTCCTGCAGAGTACACAGGATTCTTCTCCCAAGTGTGGCCCCATTAAACGTCAATCTCACAGCATGTTTGGGCTAACACACGGGAGTAATGTGAGCAGGACTCCATGTGCCACCGTGTCAACTGGCGCTGACCACAGCTGGGCTCCGGTCCTCACAGCCACACTTGTGCTTGGCCTGTCCCCCCAAGTGAAGGAATGCAGTGAGGAAACATTCACTTGCCTAGAGATGTTGAAATTCTTTTTGTTTGGGACGTGAACAGACACTGTCTCCAAGCTCAGGGAGGACTGTGTCCACCAAGAGAAAAAAAATCACAGATGAGAAATGGATGGTGAAGGCAAGAAGAGAAAACCAAGAAATATAATGCATAGGGTCCTGGATTTTCATATATAGCCATCGAGAAAATCATATACATATATATAATATATAATATATATGCATGTTCCTACATTTACATATATCTGTATGTGTATGTGTGTGTGTGTGTGTGTGTGTGTGTGTGTATCAATGTAGAAGCAGGGTCTATGCCTGCCTCTCTGACAGTAGGGTGAGTTCGCTTCCTAGATCTGTCAACTTGTCTGCATTGTCATCCAGCACTTCCTTAGTTTGCCCCACTAGCAGTATCTGTCATGCAGACTTAACTTCTGCATCGCTCAGGGCTGTTGGGAACTTAAATGGCTATAAATTAAATAGAAATTAATTTGTCAAAGTGAAACATCCCAGAAAGGGAGAGGCCTCCTTTTTCCTCTCCTGTTACTCAAAGAGCTTTTTATCCCTAGAATATACTTGTGTTGGACACAATGTCACTCCATCTACTCTACTGGGGAATTCTGAGCACTGTCCATAGAGTCTTCCCCCAGGACTCCTGTAGCTCCTGTGCAATTCCTCACCTCATTGTGCAGCAGGTGACCTACACTTCGCTACCTCAACATGATCACGACAGTGTCTGCCTCTGCCCAGAACTCTGCTAAACACAGTTCCTGAGAGAAGAGAAAACAATATCTGTGTTTTCACATTTTTACATTATTTAAGTATTTTTGTCTGTGTTTATTTTTAATTGTTGCCTAGACCTTGTTCCTATTCATGGAGTGAAATACAGACCTGATACAGACCAGACGCACATGAGCATCACAGAACTGGCCTGTTCACTGGTACATTAATGCTAGCTATTTTCCAACATTTAATTCATCATTTTGCTACTTTTTATTAGCATACATTTATATAATACAGGTGGATTTCATTGCTGTATTCCATAGATTGACACAGTATATTCTTTGAAGAAGTTCACCCTTTGTTTTATTATCACATTCCCTTAACCTCCTGTTCGCAGTGTTGAGTGGTTTTCATTATGCTATCTTCATATACAGTATACATACATGTGTCTATATACATATATATACTGAATGCATATATACGTAAATGTGTGTATACATGTTTGTCTCTATCTGTCTGTCTGTTCTTCATCTTATACATCACTCCGTAGTCCTCATTTGCATCCCTGCCCCAAAACCAATCACCTTTGACTATAATGGGTTAACTTTTATAGTTATTCCTTCTAAACTGGGGGTCTTGCTCAGTGGTACAATATACATTTGTATGTATGAGGTCCTGTGTCCAAACCCAGCACCAAAAAAAGTTACTTCTTCTATCCAACTTCATTCTTGCACCCATTAACCATCCTCTCTTCACTTTCCCCACCCCCCACTCATTTCATGTTCTGGTAATCATCATTCTATTTCCTAGTACTTCAAGACTAACCTTTTTAGCTTTTATAGGTAAGTGAAAACATGTATTATTTCCTTTTCTTTTAAGGAGGATGATTTCTTTCATTTAACATAATGTCCTCCAGAACTAATCATTGTAAGTGGGACGATTCAGGACCGGGGTTGGGGGAGCGGGGTATTCTTGACATCCTGAGTTGGTTTCCTCTAGAACAAGATTGGCAGTGGTGACAAAGGCTACAGTGGTACATACATTTCTCCATGCACAAGTCCTTGGTCTTAGCAAGGACTGGTCAGCTGGTTATGGCTCTCACTGTGAGCAAAGTGGCAGACAATTAAATGGCAGCGGAGCTTTAGGAAGAAAACCTTTCCCAGGAGACAATTTTCCAAAAACAACAATTTTGTGCTTCTAGCTACCACATACTTCTCCAGAACGTCAGTATGTGGTAAGGTCCATCAGCAACTCTCCCATTTCCAAATCTAACTTCTTGCACCCTCAAAAGTAAAGCATAAATAACCAGACTGGGGTTTGATATTAAATTACATGGAAGCTACAGATCAGAAGAGAAGGAGACTGTTGCTGAGGTAGGACAAGACTTTGAACACAACTGTTCCCCCAATTCAGCTTTTTAGGTGAGGCTTCCCAGGCATACTGTGAGTTTTAATTAAAGTATGATTCATAGATACAGAATCAAGTTTAAAAAGACAGATGTCTCTGGGGTTCTATTATATCTAGAATATTCTGAACTTAGATATATGACATGAATAAAAACCACCAAAGTACAAAGCTTAGAGACTCAATACAGAAAGATTAAAGAAAAAACTAAAGGCCACAAGGAATGGCAGCTACCTGAATGTCCACCATCAGCTTAGCCAATTAAAATGACTGTTATGTAAGGACCATGCAGCCTAGTCAATTAAAATGAGCGTTACATAAGGACCATGGAAGCTAGCCAATTAAAATGACGGTAGGGACAGGGCTTGGCCTTAGGGTCCATTTTCTGGTATTTCTATCTGCTCCAATCAAATGTGAGCCCCTCAACCACCCTAATTCCAGCAACATTTTCAGATCTGATCTTAGATTTCCATTCTTATCTTCCATCATTCATCAATTTGTGGATCTCATTGAGTCTGTGGTTCTGGTTCCAAACCGTCTTAAACATCTCACTGTTGGGGCATTTGAACTCTCCTCCATTAACTGATGAAATGTACAAACATAAGTCATCACACCCAGTTCCCTGGGCCTCCATATGCCCCAGCAGTACAGCAGGTTCTCCCACCTCCCCACCCCACCCCAACACCTTCGCTGGCTCTCTGTGTCTACACTGCAGCCCAGGAGAAACATTGACTTCTACTTCCATCTTCAATCTCCCCACCCCTTATCATCTGATCTTCTGCCTCTCTCATCTCAACATGGGATGATGGTTATAGTACACACGTGCATGCGTGCACGCGCGCGCACACACACACACACACACACACACACACACATCCTAGAGCTTTTATTCTGGTTTTCTAACCCCAGAGCCTTCCTGAGCATCAGCCCATCTCCAATAATGGCTTCCATAAGTTGCTGATGACATACTTTGTTGTTCAATCAACACAAACTTAACTTCCATGGGTTTCTTAACTCACCTAAGAATGATGGTTCTTTCAGACACATTTCCAGAAAACATCATCAAATCTTATTTTTCCTTTTCTGTTTGTTTTTTTTTAACTTTTTTTTTGTCTTTTCTTTTTTGGTACTGGGGATCAAACCCAGGACGTTGCACTTGCTTTGCAAGTGCTTTCCCACTGAGCTACATCTCAGCCCACAAAAGCTGTCACTCCACTCTGCACACAATCAGTCTCCTGGGAATCACAGGAGGCTCAACTTAGAAGAACATTGTGTAGCCAGCAGATGATAAACCAGACACCAGTACCACAGCTATCTCTATGGCTGTTGTACCAAATAGGTGAGCAATCTTGCCCTCTCTCCAAGAGCCAACCCTGAGCAAAGCTTCTGCAAGACCACACTCATCTAGTCCCACTGCTTTATCTCTGCCTGCATAAACCCCTCAGGATGACATAAGTAAATTCAGTCAGAAGTCTTTCCCAGTGGTCGTATTTGTGAACATTTGCCTAGCTTACACAAAAATATTCCTGCCTACTTTGCCAGCTCTTCAAGGCCTGGGACATCCTGCATAATACGTGGCTACTTTTCTGATGACTGACTGAGAAATTTGCCTCAAAGAAAAGGCCTGAAAGAAATTTTGGTCTACGAGGAACAAACTGGTTCTATTCCCGGTTTCCACAAATCTAAAAAGTGAATTCCTACACTCAATTGGAAAATATTTGGATTTAGAATATTGGATCAAAATTACTTAACTGCTTCAGTAAGTTTTCATAACTTACACACACACCATAGCTAATCCTTAAACCTTCTGTTTCCAAAGCCACATTTTCAGTCTGAAAAGAGCTTGTTTTGCAGGGCTAGCACTTTAATGGCCAGATTTCTATCTAAGCAATAGATCCCAAGTCACACTTGTCCTTCCTATTATCCACAAGAAGATCACCTTACAGCAGACAAGTCTTTGTTCTTCATTTTAGATTATCCTGGGAGAGAGAGAGAGAGAGAGAGAGAGAGTGTGTGTGTGTGTGTACGGGGGCTTAAAATCACAAACTTGTAAATTCACTTAACTTTTTCACTCAAGCCTGACACTCTACCTCTTGAATTGTACCTCCACTTCCAGCTTTTGCTGATTAATTGGAGATAAAGAGTTTCATAGACTTTCTTGCCCAGGCTGGCTTCCAACTTCAGTCTTCAGATCTCAATAGGCACAAGATATCAGT